AGCTTTGTGCTTAACTACAAACAAACAACCCAAATCAGGAATATGTTTTACTGAATTTGATAAAGTCTAGTTTAAAGCATAAGAAGAGTTGATTATACAGTCTGTGTTAGATGAGCGATAAATGATTTGTCAGAATAAGCACCATATATCTGTCGTCAATATATCGTTTATTTGATTGTTTGATGTTCTCAAACTGATATTATAAGATACACGGGCTACACAACCAGGTCAAGACATCCCTGAGATTTAGGAATAACCACATCAAACTTAGGACTGCTAACCACACGAAGAGCAACGAGTCAAGAACACCCGCCGCCTATTATGCGTATACTCCTAACTTAATAGCGTGACCAAAAGTGCAAAATATGTTCATCAGCATATCGCGACTCGATCCTTGGACCTTCCGATCTAGGCAGGATTATAATTTGATGAATTGTTAAGAGCAAAGGGAAGAAGAATCACGAGAGAAAAAAATGAATATTTAAAATAGGGATATGCACTTGTTCCTCTTTAGATAACGTATTTAAACTATGTAAAAAAAGACGACTTTAAAGCTTGATAGAGACAAAAAAGCGGAGTATTTTTCATGTTGAGGAGAAAAATATTTTAGTTGAGGAATAAATCTGTCGAAAATATAGGATATATCAACTGAGGTGCGTGTCTCCATTAACAAAGTTGTTAACAATCTGATTAAATGTTTATTCAAAACAAAATATAACACAAACAACAAAGATTACAGGAAGTCTGTGAGACATATATCATAATCCGCCATGTTCTCTTGTACGTGATAGATTTAGTGTGAGACACATATCAGAATCCGTCATTTTCTATTGTACGTGTTATATTTAGTGTGATACACATATCAGAATCCGTCATGTTCTATTGTACGTGATAGATTTAGTGTGAGACACATATCCAAATCCGTCATTTTCTCTTGAACGTGATAGATTTAGTGTGAGACACATATCCAAATCCGTCATTTTCTCTTGTACGTGATAGATTTAGCGTTTAGTGCATGAGTTACTAAACTGACTTAGAACCTAGCATTCACAACATATTAATACTTAAGTGTCAATTATTAATTAAAGGATCGCTTCCATGTAAGCTGGTATTAATACTTAAGCGTCAATTATTAATTAAAGGATAATCTCCATGTAAGCTGGTATTAATACTTAAGTGTCAATTATTAATTAAAGGATAATCTCCATGTAAGCTGGTATTAATACTTAAGCGTCAATTATAAATTAAAGGATCATTTCCATGTAAGCTGGTATTAATACTTAAGTGTCAATTATTAATTAAAGGATCATTTCCATGTAAGCTGGTATTAATACTAAAGCGTCAATTATTAATTAAAGGATAATCTCCATGTAAGCTGGTATTAATACTTAAGTGTCAATTATTAATTAAAGGATAATCTCCATGTAAGCTGGTATTAATACTTAAGTGTCAATTATTAATTAAAGGATAATCTCCATGTAAGCTGGTATTAATACTTAAGCGT